TGGCATCACTGCCATCGAGCTGATGTCGATGAAGCCGCCCTGGTCCTCCCTCTCCTCCGTCTTCGACATCATCCTCGCCATCGTAAACAACCCGCCGCCCGAGGCGGAGGGCTCGCCCGTGCTGCGCGACTTCGTGAGGTGCGCGCTCGTCAAGGACGCCGTCGCGCGCCCCTCGGCCGACGTGTTGCTCAAGCACAAACTCGTCGCCGGCGCGCGCAGCGACGCGCTTGCGGCCGTCGTCAAGAAGGGGGCGCCCAAGATTGGCGCGCTCTAGCCGCGCGAGGACCCGCGCGCCCACCGTGCAGGGTGTCGAAATGCTTCCCCCGCGCTATTGGAGCGGTGTCTAGTGTGTTGTGAGTGCGTACCGTGGCGCTGCAGCACTGCTCTGCGTCCGGTGCGCACGTGTGACGTGTGTGGCCACTTACTCATCCTCTCAGTGCGTGCTGCGGTGACTCCTCGGTATTCCGCGATTATCAGACTCCAGCTATTATCCTAAAATCGCTCGCGCTCAGGCTCTACGGACGGCGTTCTGGGGCGGGGAGGAGGTGATCGCTCCGCGCGCCCACCCCGCACGCACGAAACTGGCCGCTCATAAAGCACTACTTATTTTCCGAGGCCACGCGGCGCCCCTCCACAGCCAGCCTACCCTCCTATCGCGCCACTCGAAGCCCCGCGGCCGCCTCTCGCCTACCGCGCTGCCCTCGCCTGCCACCGCACCGCCCGCGCTCCAGCCTAACCAGCTCTGCATCTCGCAACACACACTTGACAGGGACAGACCAGGCGCAGGAAAAGGGAGCGGGGCCCGAATCCAAGGGACCACCCCGTCGGGCGGAGGAGCTGTGAACTCAGGTCCATCAGGAAGGCTGCTGGCTCCTGACTCATCCCCCAAATCCCCCACACCTTGGCGGCCTGAAACCTTACCATTCCGACACCTCACACACACCCCTCCCCTAGGGCTAAGCAGTGCGCGAGCCCACCCGACTTCAGGCGAGACGTCGACCACTCCTCGGGAATAGTTCTGTCAGTGGCTGCACTAGACGCCCATAGAGGCGCGCGGCGCGGGCAGATGACTAGGGGAGAAAAAGCGGAGAACCTAGCTCGCTGGGAGATGTGCGCAACCTAAAGACGGGAATAGGGGAGAAGTGTCAGTGTGAGGGGAGGGCGTAGGCTGACGTTTTTGCCTTTGAAAACTGAACAGTTTTTTTTTCCGCGCGCCCACGCCGCCGCCGCCGCCGCCGCCGCCGCCGCCGCCGCCGCCGCCGCCGCCGGGCCGCCGCCGCGGCGCCAACAGCGACCTGCCTCACGGTCCACCTGCTCCCCGCGGCGATGAGGAAGCAAACAACTCGTTAGATAGGGACAGATGACGCTCCGAGCGGATGATTCTTGTGGTTCTGAGCCGCCTCCCCCCCC